TAATTGCCAGGATCGCCTCTAGAGCCCTTTTTAAATATTGACGTCACGTTGGCTATCTTCCAGTCATTAGGTACGGAAGCCGATTTAAAGGATAGGTTACAAACCACAGATAATAGTTCAGCAATTTCCCATTTGAGTTCTTTTAGAACCCTTGGATGAATGCCATCCAGTCCCAGAGATTTGTTCACATTAAGTTTTTCCATTTGTTCCAAAATCTCCTCTAATGACACTTCAATCCGGGACAGTTCCTCAGATCAATCACCCCAACGTCCTCAGCCGTGAAGACTGAAGCAAAGAAATCATTTAGTTGCTCCTCAATGGCTTTATCGTCCCTGATTGCTCCTTTTATAGCTCGATCATCTAGGGGACCCTCAGGTTTTTTAGCAGGCTTCCTGCTTTTAATGTACTTAAACATTTTGTTATTTCTTTTTGAGTTTTTGGCTAGCTGTTCCTCAAAATCTTTTTTTGCTTTTCTTATTACATTTTTACACTTGATTTGACAGTGTTTATGTTCCTTTCTATTTATCTCACTAGGATTTCTTAAAAAATATTTTGTTATTTCTTTTTGAGTTTTTGGCTAGCTGTTCCTCAAAATCTTTTTTTGCTTTTCTTATTACATGTTTACACTTGATTTGACAGTGTTTATGTTCCTTTCTATTTATCTCACTAGGATTGGACTTCCACTTCTTAAAAGATACCTTTTTGTCCCTCACTGCTTCTTTTACATGGTGGTTAAGCCACAGTGACTCTTTTTTTAGGTCTCTTGCTATGTTTTTTAATTTGGGGTATACATTTAAGTTGGGCCTCTATTATGGTGTCTTTAAAAGTTTCCATGCAGCTTTCAGGGATTTGGCTCTAGTCACTGTGCCTTTTAATTTCTGTTTAACTAACTTCCTCATTTTTGTGTAATTCCCCTTTTTGAAATTAAATGCCAGGGTGCTGGACTGCTGAGGTGTTCTTCCCACCACAGGAATGTTGAATGTTATTATATTATGGTCACTATTCCCAAGCGGTCCTACAATCAGGGACTACAAGCCAATTAAGACATTTACGCACTAAACAGCATTTTAAAAGACAATTATTTGGATTACCTGATAGAATTCAATTCCTTGATCTGTTATGAAAACAATTTCTGTAGAACTTGTCCAGCAAAATCCTAAAATGTTGGCATTCTTTGTCTTTAATTAAAAGATATAAACAGTTTTTAGTAGAAATTAATAACCATATACATAAACATATAACATTTGAGTGAAGAGTGTGGGAAACTGCATCTGTCCTAGTATATTTCAAGTTTGGTTTGCCTGATATTGGTTTTGTCTGCTACTACTGGTCGAACTGCAGGAAGTGCTGTCATGAAAGGTACCAAATCATAACAACATGTATATTAAAATACTCAGTCCGGCCTAAAATACTTCTTCGTCCTATCTATTGATATTTTGCTCATCTTCTTGCACAGTCACAGAGTAACACGTGGATGTCACGCTGAGCCATTCTTTCATTATTAATATTGGAAAGCTATTGTGAAGAGATGATCTTACACTTAAAGGTACTGAAATCCTATTTTTGGTAAAAATCTGTAAAAGACACAGCAAAGGTACTTAAAAAAAAAAGAGTATTTCTGTCATTCTCTTATCCTCACAACCTTAATTGAGGGTCAACTTGTAGGAAAGATGAAATTCAGCTTCCATGTCTATTAGAGCCAAACATAGTGGTGGTCTGAGTAATATGGATAATAGTTTCCAAGTAATAGGATTGAGAGAAACAACCACCTACACTCCTCTAATTCATATTAGCTAGCTGATCATAATACTAAAGTGACTTAGCTTTGGGGATATAAAAAGTTGTTTAAAAATGTAACTGTAACTGCTGAAAATGCTAGTGTTTAGCTGCCAGCCCTGCTCCTGGGGAGGCTTCACTGCTGGCTCTTTTAATACTGCTACAAGCCCTGTTCCCAGGGTAAAATTATACTGCAGAGTCTACAGCAAAGCCTCCCTGGGAACAAGGCAGCAGAGACTGCCAGCCCTGCTCCCAGGGAAGCTTCATTGCTGCAGGGCCAGCAAATGCATCATGAAGAGACACCTCCCTCGAAATCCCCTGCTGGCCCTGCTCCTGCCACAGAGAGGAGGTGCTCCAGGCAGCCGAAGCAGCTTGGGGCACCGCTCCAGCCCCTACCAATTAACCAGAACCAGTAAACCTCACCCATTAATATCCCTATTTAGCATTACCAATACACTAGCAATTTCCTGTTTCCAATACCCACCACTAAGGGGACAACTAGTGCAAGTTCTAAAACAATAGCTTCTAAGAGCTAAGACCATTCAATCATAATACAGTAGAATCCCTATCATCCGACCTAAACGGGACCGACACATGGTCGGATTACCAAATATGTCGGATGATACGGACTCTACTATAGAGAGCAACGGAACAGCTGATGCTGCTCCTGCCGGGGACATCCCCCGCAGGAGCGGCATCAGCTGTTCCGTTGCTCTCTAGGAGAAGCTGCTGCCGCTGCCACTGCTGCCGGGACGCTTCCAGGCAGGAGCGGCAGGGGGAGCAGGGTCTCCCAGCTCCCGGGGACTTTGATAAAGCGGAGTGTTGGATTACCAGGTGTCGGTTAATCCAGACTCCACTGTAACTGTAAAATGTTACCAGTTTGAGTCATATTGCCACTAAGTATGCTAACAAAAACAAAAACTATTAAACACTTCCATTAGAATTGAAATGCAGAGGGACGCACTAAATGGAAAGAGAAATTGTATTTTGAGGCAGTCAAATGAAAAATGAGGAGCCAACCCTGCAAGGTACTGAGCATCCTCTATTTCCACTCATGTCAGAGCTAAGGTACACTCACCATCTTGCAGTATATGGTCCTGTACAGTAGGAATGTGTAGTCCTCTCCTCCATTCTAGCAGCTAGAGGTTCATATAAAAAGTTTGTGGAGCATTTCTGCTTCCTGCTAAAGGACGTAAGAGAGCCTACTCCAACATCCACCAAAGTCAATCTCTGACATTAGTCCTTTAAAATCAAGCAATGGAGGGTTTATGCTTTTTGAACTGAAAGTCTAAAAGTCCTGCCTATGCTGGCAGCCCACACTGGGAATGTTAAAACGGTTAATCAGTTAAATGATAACATTTAACTAGTTGGCCATTTTGACTTAAGTCCCACTGCTGGCCCTATTGTAGCCACAGCCACAGTGTCCCACCACCGTTCTCAATGCTGCTTGTCAGAGTTCACTGGCAATTAGCCAGTAAGGGCCGATTAACCAGTAAACCTCAGGCTTACCACTATGCTTACCCGTTAACATCCCTAGCCCACACAGGGTTTGATTACATGTGTAGAAAAAAAAATGTACTAGGGAATTAACTTCTGAAACTCAGATGCTACTAAGAACAGAACATGCTGTCTGGACCTCACTTCACTCCTGTCAATATTCATGTGCATCAATGGTTCAAAGAATATATTCAAAATAGCCAGCTTCATATTAGCACTTCATTTAAACTAAAGACCAAAAGAATGGCCAAACTGGATCAGCCCAAAGGTCTATTTAGCCCAGTATATTGTCTTCTGACAGTAGACAATGTCAGATGCCCCAGAGGGAGTGAGCATAATAGAGAATCATCAAGCAATCCTTCTCCTGGCTCCCATTCCCAAAGTCTGACAGAAGCCAGGGACACGATTCCTACCCATCCTGGTGAACTGCCATTGATGGACCTAATCTCCATGAATTTATCTAGTTCTTTCTTGAACCCTGTTAAAATCCTGGTCTTCACAACCTCCTCTGGCAAGGAGTTCCACAAGCTGACTGTGTTCTGTGTGAAGAAATGTTTCCTTTTATTTGTTTTAAACCTGCTACCTATTAATTTCATTTGATGACCCCTAGTTCTTATGCTTCAGAGTAGCCACCGAGTTAGTAACAGGAAAAACTTTAAAAAACCCAAATAGTCTAGCAGCACCTTAAAGACTAACAAAACATAAGCTTTCGTGGGCACAACCCACTTCTTCAGATGACAGGAGTATTAGAAATCCAGATCCTAGTTATTATGTTATGGGAACAAGTAAGTAACTTATCTTTATTCACTTTTTCTACACCAGTCATGATTTTATAAATCTCAGTTAAATCCCCCCTTAGTCTCCTCTTTTCTAAGATGAAAAGTTCCAGACTTTTTAAATCTCTCTTCATATAGAACCTGTTCCAAACCCCTGATCATTTCTGTTCCCTTTTTCTGACCCTTTTCCAATGCCAATTTATCTTTTTTTGAGATGAGGTGACCACATTTGTACGCAGTGTTCAATATAAAGAAGTGTCCAGGGAAAATTCACAACATACCTTGCATTCTTGTGTATATTCTAGTTGAGGGCTATCTGGAATAAAGTTCAGAAAGTCCTGAAATAGGTAATATTAGAACATTAGCAACTATGAAGCACTTAATCTGATGAGCACAAACCAGAAACTGAGTAAGTTTACCAGCTATCTATTTTGGATTAGATATACTAGTGTAAAACATTACAATGCTCTTTTATTTGGAGAAATAATCCTATCTCCTAGCTAATTCTAAGAAATCCATTTTCATTTTTTAAGAGTTTGCACTTATAAGGCTAAAAAAAAGTAGTCCTGGAAGAGCTAGGTAATAAATTTCAGTTCAGAATTGTCTAATGCTTATCCTGAAGGGTTTGTCCCTCTCAAGAGTGGACAGCAAGAACAACTGTCCACAGATGTCACCAGATTTTAAGAAACAAACTGGCTTTTTGTACATCAGAGTGTAAAGATAGTGATCTCTTCTGTGACAGAGCCTGAAGGGGTCAGGGAATTATTTCTTCTGTTGTCAAACAGAGGAACTCTTTTAACTTGTATGGCAGAGATCAGCCAGAGTTCTAATTCCAGCTCCCTGTGTTAGTAGCAAAATTTCTTACCACACTCTTTGAGGTTCTCTGAACAGCCAATATCTTGTTCCCCAAGGAAAACTTGATGCATTTCACTTCCCCTTTGTCTTCCATTCTACAAAAAGCATTAGAGAAATTTTTCACTCTCTTCCTTTGTATACTTCAAAGTGTCCCAACCCCCCCTTGCTCTTTTCCGGAGACAAAACAAACCCAATTTTTTTCAATCTTTCCTCATTGCCACATTTTCTAGTCCTTTAATCATTTTTATGCTCTCTTCTGGACTCTCTCTAATTTGTCCACTTCTTTTCTGAAATGCAGAACCCAGAATTGGACACAGTACTCCATTTGAAGCCTTATCAGAGTAAAGAATTATTTCTCATATCTTACTTACAACACTCCTGCTAATGTTTGCTTTTTTTGCAACATTGTGATACTGATGACTCATATTTAACTTGTGATCTACTGTAATCTCCAGATGCCTTTCTGCATACTCTTTCCTAGACAGCCATTGCTCATTTTGTTATTTGAGAAACTGATTGTTTCTTCCTAAGTGAAGTACTTTGCATTTGTCCTGATTGTATTTCATCCTATTTACTAGGGATGTTACCATTTACTTACTCATTTCCAAGATTAACAGATAAGAGAGGGGGCGGGGAGAGGAAAAGAGGGGAGGCAGGAGCTAGTGGCTGCGGGGAGCCAGCTTTTAACTCCCACATGCCAGTTCCTACAGAGCAGCCTGCCACCCCACCCCCACCTCACTGCCTCCCACAGATAGAGCAGTGCAGGAGAAAGGGGGCAGATGGGAGCTGACTTAAAAGCCAGCTCCCCACAAGCACTGGATCCCGCAGAGCCACCTGCTCCTTGCCCCAATATCCATGCTGCTGCCTCTGATACAGAGGCAGCAGTGTGGGGGGAGGAGGGCGCGGACAGACAGGATGCTGGAGCAGTCTCAGTCTATGGGGAGCTTAGGCTTCTGTCCATGGAGGACGTGGGCTTGCCACCAACAGAAGCTGCTCCATGTGATGCCAGAGCAGCCTGTGTCCGCAAGGAGCTCAGACTTCCCGTGGATAGAGACAGTAGGCAGGAGCTGGTCTACGTGGGGTGCTAATTTTTAAACTGGCTCTCCTTGCAGACTGGCTCCCACCTGCCACCTCTGACACAGAAGCAGCACCATGGAGTGCTGGGGGCTCACTGAGAGTGAGACAGGGAGCCAGGAGTGCACTGGCTGCCAGCCCTGCCTCCAGGAAGGGGAGGAAGCATTTTAGTAACTGTGTAACTGCTAAAAATTGTTGCAGCTACACGATTACTAAAATAAACAATATCTAACATTTCTACTACTGACTTCAGACCATTTCTCCAGCTAGTCTAGAACATTTTGAATTTAAATCCTATTCTCAGCATGGTATGACCCACAAACTTTAATAATGACATTAAGAGTGCAGTTGTATTCAGTAGGAAAATTTGTTTATTTTTATTAACACATCATAAATATAAGGTCAGAAAAGGACAGAGCTTTTAACCACAGAAGTGTTCTTCCACTGATACTGCACAGTTAAGTAGTTTCTTTGGGCTACTGCTGCCACATTGGCACATGAAAATTTGTGACTCATGGAAGTTTAAAGTGCATTAGCAAAATACGCCATCTATTTTACAGAAATGTAGTTAGATTAGACAAGATATTAAACTGATAAGAACAGATTGACAAGTTTTATTGAGCAAATGTTTCAAAATAAAATCACATTATAGGTTTAAGCGGTATGAAATGAATGGGAGATCTGGGGACAAAGTTGGGTTAATGGGGGTGAGGTACATAATGAACATGGTCAGTTACATAGTGCCCATGCTCAGTGCGTGCAATCACTTTACAGGTCCCATCATTGCATTACATCATGTACTAGGTCTGAGTTACATACAGTAGAAAATACACTACACTGGATATTAGCCAAAAATATTAAATGCAGTATTTACATTAAGGAAATATGGCTTGGGACTATAAATGCACAAGTAGGTAAATTCAACATCATGGTTCCCAAAAAAAGCCATAAATTGACCCTTGAGTGTTTTAAATACATCTGACTGCTAATGTTCAATTATGCCAAATTTCAACTTATGCTAAGTCATAGTTGATATGTGAGCCATGTTTTTTTGTTTGTTTGGTTTAAACTGTGAAGTTTGGGGTATGTTTGAATTTTCAACCATAATGTTATATTAATAACTTTCTTCAATGCAGGTTTTTTTTTGTTGTAAAAAAAATCTGAGTGATCACAATTAATATACTTATTACCCTGTGTATTTGTTATTTAATGAAAATATGTTTTTTAAAACATAGCAACAAGATCAGGATATTCCAGTACCTCACAAATATTGTATCTATATGACAAACTATAGTCCAACCAAGAGATATATACAGTATAAGATAGCTGTGATATCACATATGGTATCCTAGAGCAGCACAGAACACAAATGAAAATACCTTGCTAATCATACCTGAATGAAATGGGATTTTTGTCTTCCAAGCCTTTAACCACCACCCCAGTGGCTCCACCGGATCGAACAGCAAAAACCTAACAGTTAATATATATTTTTTAAATGCAATATTAAGACACAACTTCAAAGCTAACTCAAGGTCATATCATGATCTCAACAATTCTTATTTCTGCAAAACCATGCATTTTGTAAGCGAAGAGCTCTAAAAGAAAATTCATTGAAATAATCTTATATAAAAAGATAGCAGCAATTCTATACTGGTTGAGACCATACAATATAGCGTGTTGCTGAATTTTTGCTATGGGAGTCTTAAATTCAATTTTTGATTAAGTCATTTGTCAAAAACTCCAGACGTAGTAGCTAAATGGTCCAGTGCAACAGCTGGACGTGTAAACAAGAAAATAGCTCATAAAATTAGAAATATATTACTCTGCCTCCAACTTTGGAGAGACCATTACTGGAACATAGTGTCCAGTTCCAGTCTCCACACTGGAAAATGGATGTAGACAAGCAGAGAGGATTCAGAAGAAAATTACAATAATTTGAGATCTAGAAATAGATCTCAAATGCTGGTTTGCATGTACACTTGCATTAAAAAAGCAAAACATATGAATTTAAAAGGCTTTATTATTTTGGTGCAAGTGTGTGTGTGGACACTTACCTTGTAAAAAAAAGTTAAATCAACTTTAGACCCTTTTAAAAATATATACAAACTTGCACCAAAATAAACATTTTAATTCATACATTTGTATTTCACTTCAAATTTAAGCTCCTGAAATCTATTCTGGCTGGCCTACCAAATCTCTTCAGTTTATCAAACAGAAGGCAGAAGAATGGCAACTTGGTCAAGTTGTAATTGATGAAGTAATAGATACACTCTGATCCACAAATAGCTCCAGTGCCAGCCCCTGTTAATGGCCAAAGTTTCACACTCTCGTACGTGGGCTAGAGGAAGGAGAAGACATCAATGGGAGAAACTTTACCGTCAACTTCCCTTACTCTTCTTCCCCAGAGTAGAACAACAGAGCTTATCGAAGAGCAATCTGAAGTCAACTTGGCAGGTCTTTGGTCCTTAGAGAGCTACAACTCATTAATTTTACATCTGCAGCACATGCTGAACTACAACAACCATATTTGTTCACTTTTGCAGACTTGACTTTGCTGAAGCTATAAAAATCTAAGCACAGCAGAGACTTTAGAGCTGTCACAAACTAAGATATGTACATATGTTCATATTTGGAAGGGTGTCGCCATCGTAAAGGCTAGTAAGACAGCATAGTGTTCAACAGACGTCATATTTGGAAGTGAAGAGTGGTCTTAAAAATTACAAATAAAGGAAAAATATATTTTCTTTAACAGTCCAGTAGGAGACACACCAATTAACATTTAAAATTACCTTAAACAACAAGAGGCATTTGTTCACAGTGCTCCAAGGGATTTAGGCATTTTGTAAAGATCATACAGGGGATATATAAAAAGGGCAATGCAGTCACCTAGTTCTAAGTTTCAAAAAATGCCTGAAAAGTTGTGTCTGTCAAATGGAAAGGAAATCAATAAGCCTCTATTAAGTAATAATTAGAACCCTTCATTTTAGTTATTTAATTTTCCCCAGAAATGTATTGGTGTTTATTACCAAAACAAATACAGGTTAAAAAATGGTGGAAAAAACTATTACTATTTTTTCTGGATAAATATTGGAGTTTATTTTGGTGAATGGAAGGATAGAGGGGAAAAGTATTCAATGGATTAATGCTCATGATTGAACTCAAAACACAATGGAGTTAAAAAAGATAATGTATCTCCAAATGAAACTTTTCATTTGAATGAATAGTTTACTGTTGTAGACTTAGAACTATTGGCCGATAAATATTTACCTTTAATAACTGGACTTCACCATCTGCAGTGCATACTCTCAAATTTATCCTTTAAGCATGATTTTTTTTTTAAAACTTTGGAATACTTCCTTGTGATCTGAAATGTATTCTGATACAGATTTCCATTTTCTTCCCAATTTAGAGTATCAGATCTTTAAATGTATCTACTAACAACTAAAAGTGTACAAATGGTAGACATCAGATTAATCAAGCGAGCATGCATTTAAGAATGTACATGTTCATCTTCAAGATTAATGCTAGTGATATAAAATCCCTACTAACTGGGATCCCTACTAGCTGGTCCCCCACAGGGAGGGGTGGGGTACTTCTGCTTCCAGACTCCTTTTGTAGGGTGGGGGAGCAGCCGGGCCAGGCAGGGCCTGACACAGACAGGGATTGCTCTGGCCAGAGCAGCCCGCTGCCTGGGGTGGGTGGGGAATTGCTCCAGCCCTACAACTTACCAGTCCCAGTTAACATTACTCATTTAGGGTGATGCTTACCAGTTAACAGGTTAACCTTTCACATCCCTGAATAGATGTGTTAGTAAGCCTAAGTGGAAATGAGACCTAAGAATCTCCAAGATGTATTATTCGAGTAGCACCAGCCCCCACTCAAAGAAACATAGTTCCTGTTTCTTACAATATCCAGAGATCCTAAGTGGAAATTCACCGTTACTATAATATTTTACCCTATCTTGCAAGATTGTTACCTTAGTCAAAATGCCTTTAATTAATTTCATTTTTTTAATCTTTTCTTTATTCTCTAAAGCTGGTATTTTAATTTTTTTTCCTTTTAATTGGGCTGACATTAGGATAACCTTTTGTCACTATTACCAAAGAAGAGGATGCAGAACTTATTACTAGAAGTGAGAAATGAGGTACAAGGTGCCTGGGATAGAGCACTGAGGACTTGTCTCAACTATGTGGTGGACTGACACTGCAGGAATCGATCCACCAGCCGTCAATTTATCACGTCTGCTTAGACACAGCTTACTGTCTATGGATATTGTAAGAAATGCCTGCTTAGATGCAATTAACTGATCTCCAAGCACTCTCCTATCAACCCTAGTAATTCAGTGGGACAAGAAAAGTAGCCAAGAGAATAATTAGAAGAGCAACCCCTGCCAAACTTATCACACAGAAGATGCCTTGGTGAGCATTTAAACTTCAGCTATGCCATTTTCATAGCTGAAGTCATGCAGATTAGATCAACAGTGGGAGGGTCAGTGTATAAAAAGCCTCTGTAAGAAGAGTGAGGCATAGGATGTCCATATGAAAAAGAAGATGCAAAGACACTGGCTGCAGTTAGAGGCATATGGAAAGTTTAGTGACCAGTACCTATTTTCTGCCATGACTTGTGAAGTTCACTGTTGGAAATTTAATTTCTCTTTTAAGAGAAAGCTTAAATCATGTAGAAACTGATCATTTAGACCATCACAGAAACAACATGAGTAGGATAAATATCTTTTACTGAACCAACTTCCATTGGTGAGACAGATAAGCTTTCAAGATGACAGCAAGATCTTCTTCAAAGGCTTTTCTCTCCAGAACAGAAGTTTGCCAAATAAAATATATTACCTCACTGAACTGCTCTCTAAGAGTATGTTTACACAGCAAAGTTATTTCGGAATAATGGCTATTATTCCAAAATAACTACGTGATCACTTAGACCATCTACATGGCCATTCCACTATTTTGAAATAATTTCAAAATAACAGACATCTTATTCCAAAATCTGTAAACCTCATTCTATGAAGAGTAGCACCTATTCTAAAATATAAGGGGCTCTAAATCGAGATAGCACATCTACATTAGGGAAGCCTGCCTCAGACTAATTTTGAGGCTTCCCTGCAGTGCAGACATGCTATTTTGAAATAAGCTATTTCAGAATTACTATTCCGGAATAGTTTATTTTGAAATTAGTGTACAGTGTAGACATAGCTTAATATCCTAGGATCCAACTTGGCTGCAATTGCACTGCATATATGTATGTTCACCACCCTTATTCACTAAATTGCCTAGTCACCACAGGTGAGTGAGCTTTTCCAAAGCCCTAATCATTGTTAATAAACTTTTACTTTTATATTAACGGACTATTCCGGAATAGTTTATTTTGAAATTAGTGTACAGTGTAGACATAGCTTAATATCCTAGGATCCAACTTGGCTGCAATTGCACTGCATATATGTATGTTCACCACCCTTATTCACTAAATTGCCTAGTCACCACAGGTGAGTGAGCTTTTCCAAAGCCCTAATCATTGTTAATAAACTTTTACTTTTATATTAACGGTCAAA